TTTTTCTCCGGCATTTTTGCTTCACGGCGATAGCATTCGACAATCCTCTGTGACTCGCAAATTAGTGCAAAGAGTTGAAAGAAAAAGAAAAATTGATCCATGAGCTTTGCTGATTCTGGTACAAATTATTTATAAAAGGAGAGGGGAAAAATAGAAAGAAAGGAGAGATGTTTCACCTTATGAGCAGAGATGTGTTACTGAATATTCTAGGATGCCTATTTTTCTCTGTGCTGGTTAAGACAACTGCACAAACACTGTGCCAGGCCTCCCTAATGGATATAAAGTAAATTATTGCAACATCAATATACCAGATTAAACATGATGACACTCTATTCTGGATTTTTTTTTCTTCATTTATTTATTTTTTGGATATTAAATCACACACAAGTTCAGTGCTGGGATTCAATGCCCTTCTGTGAAAAATGAATCTATTATATTCTTCAGGAGCTTCACTGATGGTCCTTGGTGGTTTGAACAACTGCAGTGATTAATGGCAACATGAATTTTGCAGACACCCTCTACTGGCTTCAAATAGTAACTACTACCGCCTCAAATCATTCACAACATTCACATAACTCTCTCATTCCGACCCCCCCACCCCCAAAAAAAGACCTCATCTTTCTTTTTCCTCACATTTCTTTGATCTAACTGACCACCCCAGACTAAAACTTTCCATGTTTCTCTCGTTATCCCTACATTAAAGAAAATTATTCTCCAGCCTACAGAATTGGGTCAACTGCACCAACATATTACATCATGGCGAAACCTCTCTGCATTTGAGATTACTCCATTACTTTGATGACTGAAGTAATTTGTACATATGATTCAGCTGTATGATCTCGTAAGGTTTTTTTTAAAAACTGACTGTAAGAAAAAAGAAAACGTGTGAGCCATTTTACTCTTGCGGCATGAAAAGGTGTCAGATTTTATCTTATTTGTTTCAACACCAGCTGCAAAGAGACATTTTTATGCTCAAGGAGACAGAATACAATGTAATGAGTAATCAATTCAGGGGGTAGTAGTGGCACATCATATCAGTGGAGAAGTACTTTCCTGTTTACACAAGTTTATACTTCAAAGGTTCCCATCTGTTCTCTGCTCCTGTTTGTTTGAGTGTTGTCCCTATTAAGACCCTTCTGTCCTCTGGGGAAACTTTGTTTTCGTGCACAATTGCAAAAGTAAAACTCAACTTTAAGTCGCTACATTAAGCAAAAGCGTGAACATATTCGAAATCCAGGGCTTAGCCAGGCTGCAGGAAAAGTACCTACTTCATATTTTTCTTTTGCAGTCGGGACATATTTGCTAATTGATTGTGTTCACAGCTTTTTATCAGAATAGATCATGAACGCGGATCTGTTTGGCAACTGGCATCCCGCAGCACATGAATGCATGACAAAGGCAGACTTTTCAAATGCATTTCAACACAGCGTAACATGACTTTGACAAAAATAAAATCGGACATGATGTTCTTTGTAATGGATTAAGTTGTCTGTCATGTCACGCAGACATTAAATGGAAAGAGTGGCTGCCAAGAAAGCAGCAAAAGAGACTGTTGGCAGTAGTCTAAAATAAATGTGGCTCCAGAAAACTGGTACAACATTCAAAACACAGATTTGGTCCTTTAATCTTTGAATTAAAAGATAGTTGCAGTCATATTGGTTTTTTTTCCCTTCTGATTCCGAGCCTATTATTGTCTCTGAAAATCAGCTTCAAAAGCAGCTCAGTCACAACAAGATGAGGATCATTTTTATAGTGTTGTTCAAATGCAAATATAACTTAACCTACATTTTAAAATGCATGTTCCTCCAAGTTATTCGCCGCTAATTCAAACCGACAAGAAGCTCACATTATTTTACATTAATTGTGACTTTCCCTTTCTCACTCTTTTTGACATTTTAGCTTTAAGGCATTTTAGAGGGAAAAAGCTGTTATTGGCTTGCTAGAAGCAACCTTGTGAACTCCTTTGAACCCCCTCTTTGCAGTTTTTGAGTGCTACCCTTTTTAAGGGTGTCCTGCCCAGGCTGACAGACACCCGTGACACCCTCCTGCAGCATTAATGCGCCGTGAATTCGAGCGCAGCAACATGACATACCGATGAGGGGGGAACTAAAGAACAGACCAACAAAAGATAAAACTATTTGGGGAGAGTAATAATTGTAAAAATAGCTTTTGATTAAATAATGTAGGAGAAAGAGAATGAAATAAATTATATATGTTCATAGCCTGAATTGCATTACATAATTGATGCGTACGGTCGTACATTATGTAGCAACTGTCAACATGTGAAATATGTTTGAAAAAATAATACAAGTGTGATTCTCGAACCACTTAAGGGTGAAAGGGAAGGAGATGCCTGTGGGACAATGCCAGTATCACACTCACCTATAGCTCAGCTTTTCTGTCCTTTTCCTCTTTCTTTAAATCCAGGGTGCAGTTTAACTGTCAGAGAACGTGTTAGGGTGCCTTTAGGGTCTAAACTCCCAAAGGGGGAACAAGATTAGAATGTCAAATGTCATAGCAAACATTAAAAACGTCTCATGAACTACAAGAAAACCGGTAAGACTTGCGCTCCTTTGATATATCAAGGCCTTTGTATGATGCTCAGGATGATGTTTTAGGATTGAAAAAACCCCGCCTATGACTCTTTTTTTAAAAACTAGGTTGGTCGTGACTATGCTTTTATATGTTTGCAAGTATATAAAAAAAAAGAAGTGGAAAAAAGCCATCACTCGACTGAGTTAGTGCAGTATTACCCTGGGGCATTTTTCAGACTTTGGGGTTGGATATCACAAATGCACCTTAATGGTGTATTATTGATTTGAATGTATTGCCTGTTCCCCTAATTTACATGTTTCAGAAGCCCACAGTGCACTGCATGTAGGGAGGCCAATAAGTGCTGCTGTTCAGGAGAAAATTGAGTTTCAACAGGGGCTGAGATGCGACTGCAAAATTACAAGTACAAACACTCATCTGATGAAGATCTCATTTTGTTTTTAATACTCTCAAGTCAGGATTTATTGCAAAGAGCATGTCACCCATCTGCTTTGTTTTACTATTATTTGAATGCTATTGATTGAAAAAAAGAAAAAGAAGCACGCACATACACACACACCCACACAAATACACACACTTAGATCCTTTTTATTAAATCCACAAGCCTGAATCATGTCATGATTGATTTCAAAACAGCTGCAAGGCAACGTTTTGGAAAGAAAATCAAGGACATCAAAGCTTTGGCTTTGAGGAGACTTATTGGTAAGATTATGACCATGAATGTGATCATAGCATTTTAATTTTATGGTGTCAATTAATTAAATTTGAACTGATTGCTGTTTGTGCACTGATTTCTGATTGAGTTTGCATATACCCATTACATGGAAAGCAAATTGTCAGAACAGTATATTTAAAAAAACAACAAAAGAACAAACCCCCCCCCCCCCCCCCACACACACACACACACTGCAGATACAGTACATGTACTGATTGATTGATTGCATCTGTTCCACCTGTATTCAACTGAGAAAACTCACCTTACCAATAAAATGTTGATGAATGTCTGAAACATGGAGCTTGACCCATGATTGCAGCATAATTAGATGATTAATGTGGATGTGGTGATGCAGTGGTTAGTGGAAAAGGTTCTGGGTTCAGGGTTTCTGGTTGGCTGGGGCCTCTCTTTGTGGAGTAAGCATGTTCTCCCAGGGTATACCCTCTAGGTAAAGGACGTGCATGCTAGGTTGGGCTGTAAGTGTGAATGTGAGCATGAATTTTCTCTATATATCTCTGTGTTAGCCCTTTGATAGGCTGGCAACCTATCCTCCGCCCCACGCCCTATCCAAGACCCTGAACTGGATAAGCTGTTAAGAGGATGGATGGCTTGACGTTTATACATTCACACTAATGTGAGCCACAGTTAGCATCATCCCTATTTAGTATACTGTGTGATGTTCTTTTGGTTTAAGGAGATTGACCTCTTCACATAAGGGTCAGTGTGCTGGATCTATTGCAGAAGGGTTTTTTTTTTTTGGAGATTGCATGAGAAAACCAAAGAGGCAAGGGAACTGCTGCGTGATGTGCCAGAACAAGAAAGGGGAGGAAAAAAATGTATTCGTAAACTTCTGTTCAGGTTAACTGCACCTGATCAGTGAGAATACAGTAGGGTCTGGAGTAACTGTCAACCACGATGGTGTTTTGCTGTTCACGTGGAGGTAGTGCAGCCTGGAGGATCATGCGAGGATGCCCAGGAGGCTGTGGGGGCTTTGAAAAGGTAGGCATTTTGGAGAGGAAGCAGATGGCCCACATTAAAAGCAAAGGGCCCTTGTGACTGTCCTCAATGGCCCTGCAGAGAACTGGGTAATTAAATGAGAAATTTAATCAGATTCCTCAAATTAAATGTCCAGCTGGATAGTTCTGCAAGAACACCACTGACTACACATTTACCTAAGGGAGTATCACCAGTGGATGCATAATTCTCCAATCAGTACACACTTGCACAAGAGGATATTCCAGGTGATGATTGCTGCTAAAGTATTCCATTCACAGTTCTGCCAGCAGGAGGCAAGGGGGCCCTCACTGCGCGGCCACAGAGGGGTCATTTTAATAATAGGACCTGAGAGGAAGCAACAAAACTGCGAGAGGACAGCATTGGTGGGGTGCAATCAGTGGAATTAGCCGGTTGGCTATTATGTTTTCCGCCTCCGCGCTTCAGATAGGTATCTAACAACATTTCTGTTTGATGCAACATGTTTTGATGAAACACGTTTGTTTTTTTTAATAAGAGGCAGTGGAGTGTCGCGTGGATGGTGGACATAAGCTCTCGATTTCTGGAGTCTTTCTTATCACAGCCACCCTAGACAGAAACCAGCTTCTGGGTCCGTTAGAAGTCATTTTGCATTCAGCAAATCCAAGAACCGCCTCCCCCCCTCGTCTTCTCCTCTCCCTTCGCTGCTCCCGCCCCGTGCAGACTCCCTCTCCCTCTCTCGCTCTCTTTTGCACACACGCAGCCTGTCCGGTAGGATGGGACCAGACCAGTAGCCACATATCCGTGCACGCCTGACCGCTAGTCTACTTCCTGGATGGAAGAATGGGACATTTCCAGCACCACTTTTCTGCTTTGGGCTTCGTCTCGCTGACGCCGCGGATAATCACTTAATAATGACCGCATGTAGTCAATATTATTCGATCACTTTTTTTCTCTCCCCCTTGCTTCTTCCTCCTGTAGTTAAATACCGCGATTGATCGCCGATTGACCTCGCTACACTTCGGGAATGTCGCTATCTGGAAGCCCGCAGCTGCACACACGGAGGAGTCCAACAACAGATTTTGAACTGTTTTTGCACAGCCATAGCGTGCGTAACGTTTTATTCCTCGAAGCTAAGAGCAGCCTGTGCTCAGACCGGAGGCGAAAATTTTTGTCTTTTTAAAAAAGGAAAAAAGGGGGGAGGAAGAAAAAGCAGTGACTGTGTCCTGACCGCCAACCATTACTTTGATGCTCTGCCTTCGTGGCCACTGTGCCAACTTCGTTTTAGCTTAGGTGGTGTGCGTGTGAGTGATTTCTCCCTCTCTCTCGCTTTCTCTGGTTGTTCTCTTTTTTTTTAAAGAAGAAGAAAAAGACAAACTTTGTCACCCGTTGCCTTCTTGCTGCTCTCGATGAGTAGACTAACATGCGGAGAATACGGGAACCGAGTTACTGGTGGATTTTATCCTTAATGTTTTTAACCTTGCCCAAACACAAAGACTGTCAGCCTGGTAAGTACTCGCAAACACACGCGTTAGCTATCATTTTTATTCAGCCCAACTCCTCCGGTGCCTCGCGCTACAGTGTTAGTTTAGCTCCCCCCTTTTCTTTTTTACCCCCTCCCCTTATATTTTCAAGGGTAAACGGATAAAGGTTTTGCTTGTGGAGATGAAGGGTAACGTTTAGCTTAACGGTTTCAGGGCCGAGCCGAGTTCAACGTCCAGCCGCCGAGACGTTTAGCCTGCGTGATTTGTGTGCATGTTATTGATTAAGCAGCGAGACTATGGCGCAAAGTATCCCTGCGTTAACGCCACACTGAACACTCAAGCAGAGCCGGTTCTAGTCTCCGAGCTGCCGTTGACCCTTTTCCCTCGTTAGCTGGCTAGTCGCACAGAGCTATTCGGGGTATATGAATGTATGGAAATGCACAATAACATTCCTGGAGGCACTCTTGTGGCTATACTTTATGCCCGGTGTTTCCACGTTGGTGGTTTTTTTCCTTCTTCCGTTGGGTTACGAAGATGGATTTATCCGGGTGCCCTGCAGTTTTATCGCGGGGTTAATAAGTTATTTTACAGACGCACATTAGTTGTGCTTTTAGTTTATGTGGCGGTATATTATGTGCTTTTCCTCGCTGTCATGTGCGTAGGTAGAGGCGAGGATGAGGACGATAGTTAGCGCTGTTGGCTCGTGGATGGATGTGCATGTATGAGAGGCGATTAATGCCACTGGAGTACGAATGCAGGTCTGGACTGTAGGCTGCTTGTCCTGTGCAAAAGATAAAAGGAAAAGAGACAGGGATGACTAAATATTGACGTTTTTAAGCGTTTAAGGAGTTGTATCCGTTGCCACAGCTGTTTCAACCACCCGTTCAGTATGTTTTATTAAATGTGGGAAAAATGACAAAATGTCATGGGTTGCTGAGTGTGGTGCAACACTGGGTCTCGAGAAAGCCTGTGTCCCTTTTTTTTAAATGTTGTTTTCCCACTCGAAGTGCTCTTTGTGGTTGGGGGGAGGTTGGACTTCATTTAGATTCAGGAATCACAGAGGAGGCCGGAGTGAAGGCTAATGCTGGGTTTGAGGTCAAATGTCAAAGGGATTGTGATTAGGTTTTGATTTATATCCCCTTTAAGATGGATCAAAACAATCAGTGGAATGACACACTTTAAGATATTGAAGGTTTTTTTTCCTTTTCGCTTCATGACCCCCTCAGATTTATTGATAGGGTAAGGATGATATCTGTATTGTATACCAGGCCAAGAGTGACGTCGATTTTACAGTTAAAACAGCTGATGTAAGTTTTAAACATATGTCTTATGTTTTAATTTTTTATTATGCTCCATTAAATTGTGATGGGTAAGGGGTTAACTAAAATCTGATTTTTCAGTGGTCAAACTGCAACATGAAAATATGTTTCTTAACAACAGCTGTATCTCTGGGAGTGGTGCATTGCAATTGTTTGGCACCTGTAAGCCAACATATGCCAAGACAGCTGCTCATAAATGAACTGATTGGAGTAGAAGTAGGTATTGGACAAAGAATGCATCTGTAAGCTGACACCAACATTTCAGGTTCCTGGCAATTTGATTTATGAACGTCACTTCTTCATCACTTCTGTTGTTAGTGCATTAACAAGTGGATAAATGTAAAGTGAACGAAAATCACCAGATAGTGGCAGCTAGCGGGGCAAACGAATCGGCTAATTGGCATGTTAATAAGGTTAACACAATAGTATTGAATGACTAACCACATAAATGAACACCACTCCCCTTTTTTCCCTTTCAAATGTTTTTTCTTCTTTAGTTACTCAGCTTTCATCATGAGGATAATTGGATAATTTTTCTACTGTATGATATTGTGAGCATTGTTACCCTTTTATTCCCATACTTAAAGGTATTTAAAGACACAGTACTAGGTGTCATATATCTGAAAGGTAGTTTTTAGTGCTAGTGGAGTTATATGATTCTCATTGCCCAATTTGATACCATGGACAAAAAAACCCCCAAAAGAGACAAACAAAATGAATATCCCTTGTCATTAAACATTAACTCCTTTATTTTAAAATAATTTCAAATCAATAAGATGGTGGTCGAAGACTGTTTATTTTAAAAATATTAACATTATATTTTATTTGATGGGATACAGACTGAAATTTTAGGATCGTTGCTGGGTAGCCTAGTAGCATCACGATGAGTTACAACAATAGTTACATTAGCTTAAGCATTTCCTTAATGTTAGCCATTGCAAACAGTTCAGTCTTATGAAATGTGGCAGATTTCACAACGGCAATGCCATCAGCCTCAAACATTTCAGGATTGCTACACAAACACGGATACTGCCTTTCTTATCAGCAAACTAGCTAGAGGTAGAGCACACTAGTTGCCATCTTTCACAGGTGGTTTTTGGTGTGCTTGTTGGGCTCAGGGTGTCTCCTTCTTCTTCTTCAATATGAAACAATGGGTTAGAACAGTTGTAGGTGTATTCTGCCCCCATCAGTTGCAGAAGAATTGCAGCCTTGGTACCTATGTTACTTAAAAACAACAACCCCAAAACAAAACCAATGAGTAGCGTTGCCTTTTCAGAATTATTGAAAGATGTTGTAAGTATCGGTTCTGGTGACATCCCTGTTCTGTCTTTACAGTTATGGTTCGTAAACAGCTATTCAGAGATTTAAAAACCCATAAACAGACACATTTTTATAGATTCCACCATCATACTTAAGCTATTTACACATATGTCCTCCAGAAAATGTGGAAAAATCAGGGACAGGTGTGAACTTTTAAATATATGTAACACTCAAAGGGACGTTCTCTACATCAGATTTATTCCCAGTAGTGGAAAATGCACAGTTTGATTTTTGTCAAGGATAGAGCATACTTGAGGCAGGACACATGACAACCAACGATTTATGGAAATTCTTTAAACTGGCAGGGTAAAAACCGTTTAATGATTTGGACATTTGCATTCGGCTCCCTTGGTGATGTCAAAGGTCAAAGCTGCTGTGCATGCATGAAAATGGCTTCGCTGTACAAGCATATTAGTGTCTGATACTGTTTAATGGATCTGCTCCTGTGGCACCAATCACCCTCTATAGAAAAGTAGCAGTGATGTAACACTTGAGAATGGTTTCTCTCTGCCCCCCCCACCTCTCTTGCCCCAAGATCCTTCAGTTCCACACTTCCATATCCTCATGTGCTCAGTTAGCTGTTTTATTAAGTAGTAGCCTGAAAAGGCCCCAAAAAAGAATATGGAATATGTGTTGAATATGGAATGCCATCAGGATACATCGTTTCTAAATAATTAAAACGGTTTCTTGTGTTTTGGCAATAGCCATACACCGGTACCAGCTGCACTTTCTTCCTCTCTTCTCCCTCCAACAGGGAGTTGACACATACACCATAGTGTCCACACGGTCCCACCTCCTCTCCCTTACTCACCGGCCTCTACATCTTTATGTATATATCATTCATTGAAATTCAAAAGTCCTTTGCCATCGTCAGCCCCGTGGTTTTACAAATGGCTTTGAATATCAGTTCCTGTGTCGTGACAACACTGTTGTTTCAAAAGACGGCATTAAGACCGCACCGGCTTACTGAGAAACCACCTGAAGTTGGGGGAGGATAAGTCCTCCAGTTTCTCTCATCTGTGTTCTTCTGCTATTCTTAGGCTGGTTTACAAAGACGTTACTGCCGAAGTTAACGTGAATGTATGAATTTTAAAAGGTTAAGAGAAACTATTTGCTTAAAAAAAAAAAAAAAGGATACAAGATTTAAACAAATGGCTGTCAGGGCCGATTTATTTTCATGATAACCTATGCGGGTTTTTTTTCCTTTGGATACAAAGGCAGTTATGCATGTCTTTTCTCACTAATGCAAGCACCATGAATCCACCTCCACCCAAAATGTAATTCTCTTCAGTAAAACGGTGTATATAAAGACTTATAAGAAGATTATTTACTATTGTGTTTTTAAAAAAGAAACTGTATGGTGTGTGGTTGGACTTGCCCTCTGCATCCATCATAGGAATTGCTCACTGGTAATTATAGAAATTCACTTAAATATGTGTGTAATACAGCCTTGCGATGCAGCTGTGGAATAATTGGTTACACAGGGGGGGAGAGGAGAAAGGACCTTTTAAAAGATTTAAAAAAATAACCACGTGCGGCTTAATGGATGTTTTCAAAGGTATTGAATTGTAAAAATGACCCATTTCAAATAACATCATTGTTGCCTGCTGCAAATAGAATAGTACCGAGCAAACAAATTATTAATCTAATTAATGAGGTCCTGATATACCGCTGGGCCAGCAGGATGCCAGCTGTCTGGACATCACTGAAGCTGGCAACAGCATCATTATCATCAAGGTCCTCGGTATTTTACTTTTTTTTTTTTCTGGCTAGCTGGTTCAATATGTACAGTACTGACACCGCGTCTCAAAACGGACTCTCGTGGTTTTTAAATAGCATCAGTAACATATGCTCATTCTCAATCTTTGATGGGCTCAGCGCAGTGTTATCTGTTGTCTCTCCACCAGCTGCCTGTGCCACCCACTAAATGCTCCGATGGGGAAACATTGCAACTGTAATCACTTTTCACTTGTGTGCAGCGTGCAGATAACTCGCTGTTTACCCCTTTGCTAGTGATGCTCATCCTTTGCTTATTGCTTTTAAATTTAATGACTAGCTTATCTGTCATTCTAATTAGATTTGGGGGGGGGGACCTTAAAACAAGAACGCAGTATTGTTGGTAAAAGTATTTGAACCGCGATTGTTTGAACTACGAGGGAGCCAACTTAGCAACCGGCAACCATTGTGGTGTGCAGAAAGCACCCCAGCGTGTAACCTCTAACTGATCATCTGTGAAAAATGTGCCTCATTTACCTGTGAAATGAGCTACCTTTTTATTATTCCACAGTTTCATGTAGAATTTGTACTTGCTATTAAGAGAGTCAGTTTTGTTTATGCGGCAGCACAGTTGGAATAATAGGACAATTATCTTAAATGCAGGACATT